ATTTTTTCCACGACCAAAGGCATCATTGCCACATTGGTAAAAGAAATTTCCCTTTTACAAAAATTTGAATCTGTTGATATATTATATTGAATTTTCTACATTCGGGGACAATAATTCTAACATATACATATTATATTAATTAATAGTTAATTTATATATAATTCTAACATATACATATTTAAACATATACATATTTAACATATACATATTTAAACAATTTAAATGACAATAATTCTAACACTTCGTTATCTAACTCTAACGTTCAGAGTCAATGAAATAGTGAAAAAAAAATTGTATAACAAACTTAAATGAGAAATTTCAATCTTCAAGATGATCGTGAATTTCGTTACCAATGAGTTTTTGTAATGTTCTCAAAGACGTTAAAATTTTTTCAATTTTTTAGAAGAAAATATCCTTAAATTCCTATTCACTATACAATGTAAAATCATTTCTGAAAAAGAAACGAATTCATATGCGTTAATGTTGTAAGGCTTTATCCTTTAAAGTGAGATCATATGGATTGTTATATGACTTTATTTCACCATGTTTCAACTTCCAATTTAAATAATCAATATTTTTTCATCGTTTTTGGTTTAGTTAGCCTTTTCACATATAATATTAATCTATGTTATATATAAACTACTAATATGTATTACAATATGATTAATAATAATATTCGTTATGAATTCTTACTCGAATTTTTCAGTTTTATTAGAAATACGTAAAGGTATAATGAGTGTAAGACTTTAGTTTTTAAGTTCAGTAGCAACAATATTGAAAATTTGAAAAAAGTATTCCTCGCATCAAGAAGAATAATTTTTCATATAATTATTTTGAAATAATAACATTACTTAGGGAAATGCTACCAAAAAAAAAAAAAAATAGATATTACTAGGGAAATTTACCAAATTGACGGCGAACGTAATAAAATGTATAATGCATAAAAAGAGATATTCGTGTATATTGAATCTCCTTACTTTAAATATGTCAAATATTAGAATTACAAATATTCAGATAATTAGGTAGTTGCGATTAGGATAAAGTTGGCTAGCGATAAATATAATAGCAATTTCATGAAGAAATGATAAACCCTAACTAATAATAAGAACATTTTATTAAAATTTTGATACACGTTTCAAAGATAAGATATATATATATATACCTTTAGCAATCTACAGAAAAATGTAGTAATAATGACGCGATTCCTAGACAAATAAAAATGAAATAGATGTACAAATGAAAAAAGTTATACATAAATAAGGAAAAAAAGAGATTTCAAGGTGAGAGCCGGTATGTTCATTTTTGAAACTTGTTCTTTTTGCTCTTCTCAACACGTTAAAGCTACATGAAATTAATTTTTGATTTGTCATATTGTTTGCGTTTTTTAGTAAAATCTAGGTTTAACAAAACTAATTACAAGTTTAATAAATCTAAAACAAAGTTTAATTGATCAAAATATCTGTATATAAGACTCGTCTCACAACAGGAATTTTCAGCAATTTAAATAAAATGAAACGAAAGAATTAAATAGCTACAATGTTGCCTCCAAATCTTAAGCTTCGTTGTTTTTATTATAAAATGGTGTTTATGAAAATAATTGTACATTTGTCATTGCGCAACGATAATTTGATGGAACAATTTCAAAAATTCTCAGGAACGTATTTCAAAACTGTATAAAAGTTTAACGTTTAACCCAAAATGTTTAACTAATTTTAAAATCAAGATAAAAGTAAACCAATAAATATTATTTTATATTTTATATCATATTTATATTATATTGTAATATATTTCGTTAATTACGAATCAAAAGGATACTGTTACAGCATTTAAGAATCATTCAATGAATAAGTCGGGTTCTCTTTCGTATTAGGCAACTTTATCCTACACTTATTTCATAGTAATAATGAGAAAATGTCTTCTAACTATAAAATGTTTTCTTACACAAAGAAGTATTGACTATGTGTTTCGCTTCATCCATGTTGTTTTTTAATATTTGCACCTCGACCAAATCTTGTAATAAGGTTTGTTCCATATTGATTTGATCAATATATAATCGGAGCTATCACATACAGAATATTTATGATTTATACTAGCTTTTAAATATTGTAGAAGAGTTCTCACTTACAGTTGGAAAGAAATATATAAAACTTATATATCGTAATAAAGACATTAGCAAAGCACCAATTACAATCAATGTTCTAACGCAGTTTTGTAATGTAATTTTAGAATTTAGAAACCACAATATCTGAAAACATATGTTCATTGGCATTAATTAAGTAGTACACGTGTTATGATTATAAGTTGAAAAAAGAATGAAGCCATTGTTTTACATTTTTACCATACATTTTCTTCGTTAGCATTACATGCAGCAAATAAATATATTGTTATGTACTTTTTAATAATATATTATATGTACTTTTTAATAACTACTACAAACGAGTTTCCAATAATCATAAAATAGATCATAAATATATCCGTTTCGGAGCCTTTTGAGTTAAGAAATATATTATGAATATTTTTCTGACTGATATTTAATATTAATAGTATTTTAATATTTAATTTTACTTATTTATTCAATTTAAAATATAACTGGCCAGAGTGTGATTTCATATGCAAGCATGAGTTGAATAATATTTTTCCATTGGATTATATTATCATAACTTCATATTATTGTTTCATGTGCAAACATAAATCAAATTTTTTTTTATTTTTCTTTTATGGCTTTTCCTTCAATAGAATTTGAACGTATTTCGTTAAAAATTGAACACATATGTACGTGTATTTGCTGAATTTTCAAATTCAATTTTCTCGGAATTGAGGCATTTTATGCAAAAATTGCATTCTCGATATTCAAGCATATTCAGTCCAAGATTAGCTTAATTCAAATATACTTGATGTGAATCTCGATTTTTTTCGAAGACAGATTGTCATGTGAAAAAATTTTCTTGTCTTTTCTCTGACATGCTTTTGCATTAGGGACTCACACATTGGCCGGTACCATAATTTCGAATATATTATATACCTAATATCGAGATGTTAAATTTTTGTACCAATATAATAGGATACATATAATTAGTATCAGAAAGTTTTGTAAAAAGTAGATTCCAAATAGATATTGTACTGTGCGCGAAATAGAACTGAAACTTTTGTTTACCTCAAATATTATAGCGCCGATGAAACTGCCACATATGTATATTCTTTTAATTGTTGCACAAATCGACTTATGATATGGCCATAGTCCTACAATGTACGATATGATATGAAAATTGTTGTATTGCCTCTCGAACGTGTCCATGACTTGTCGAGTCAGTTGTCGAGGAGCATCTGTGCGTAGATTTCGAAAAATGGTCTCAAGATAACTCGTATTTATTTATTATTTATGGCACTGTTTTCTTCTCTGGAATTTTCATCGTATTATTCGTCTGTAGAATTAAAGTATAATGTATGAAGAATATGGCTGTGCACTGCCAATCGATTAAAGTCGCTCTCACCCTTCGAGAAATATTGCATAATAGATACTGACTTTAAGAAAATTATAGGTTCGAAGAAGTGACTTTCTTCCTATTTTTTTTTTATTCCTTACTTTTTTCTTTTTATTTTAGATCTTGGAAAAGTAGAAACTTCTCGAAATGACAGTAGTCATACTGCCACCACAGAGTTCGCAATAGGATATAGACACTTCGATTCTTTTGTATCCTTATACTATTGAGAAAATATAGTGAAGTCAATGAAAGTTACAATATTTCGTTTTGGACCAAGCACATAAATGGTAATATATACTGAAGAACACAACTGAGTTATAGGTAAAAATCTATTCATATTACCGTTAATTTAATATATAAAAAGTTATTATTATAATTGAAATATCTTGCGTAATTGAAATCAATACAAACATTTTTAATACAAATTTTTCTTCAGTTATGTTTAACGAAAAATATTCATTGATTTAGTTCTGCACAATGCTTTTTTCAATCATGTTTTTCAATTTTAATATGTTATTAATATTTATTTTATGATCTTTCATCTTTTGATAACTTCAATACATTTTCATGTAACTGACGGCAATCAAAATTAACTTTATTCCATTCTCCAATTATTTTCAATTGTTTAAAAGTTGATGTCGAAATTTAATTTAAAAAATATCTCTGCAGATTTTTATAGAATTGAAATCTGACTTTTCGAAGATAGACTGAAAAATATTCACAAAGATTTTGAACATTCTTTTCATTTTAAAAATTGTTTAAATTAGAATTTTTAAATATTTATA